CCGGAGTAAGAGGGGGTTACACAGGGTTACAGTGGGTTACAATGGATTGCATGGGGTTACGGAGGTTACAGGAGGTTACAGGGGGTTTTAGGGCATTACAGGGGGTTACACGGAGTTACAGGGGGTACATGGGGTTGCAGTGGGTTACAAGGGATTGCAGGGGGTAACAGGGCTTTCAGGAGGTTACAGGGGGTTTTAGGGCATTACAAGGGGTCACAGGGGGTTACAGAGGCTTTCGAGTGAACATAGAACTCGAATCCCGGCTGAAACATTCCACCCGACATTCAACTAGAAATCCAACTCAAAATCCTAACTCGGCAAATAGGTACCTTTTTCCTCTGTTTTGATGTACTCTGAAATGGTCGGCCTGCGGGACTTTTAGGGGCTCATGTTTAAAAGCTCATTTCTTCGTTTCTCTTCTTTCCAGCCAAAGCGTGTCTAAATATGTTGTGGAGAATCCTCTCTTTTAAAAAAGGGCGTTTTTATCGTTATAGAAAAATATTTTTTGTGTTCGGAGTTGTTTTTTGCGTAAGTTATGGTTGCAAAACAAAAAGCATTATTTACAGTAAAATTCAGGCCTTGTTTTGTCTGTGAAGTTTTTTTTTGTTATTTTTTCCCGGGAAGAGCTGCAGCCTTTTTTTCTAGTGCATCCTTGCCTTGCCTTCATTTTCAGCATCACGACCGTATTTCATGCTGGGAGAAAGGCAAAATTTTTGACGGCGTTCGTTCCTTCCCCCACATTTTTCCTATTTTTACTAAGCCCACAGCCACTCCGACCTACCCCGAAAATTTTGCTCGTGTAGTGATTTTAAGTGGTCGCAATTTCCAAAGTGTGCCGTGGTAGGTCACGAAATTCGTCATTATTCGAGTCCCAAATCTACTTCGTTTCGGAGCGGCGATTTTTCCAGTTCCACGAGCAACAAGCTGAATTCAGAAACGAAGTACATCACCTTACTCGCTTCTTTGAGAAATTGGACACTTTGCTACCGTCACGCTTAATGATGCTCATCAGGCATCCACTAAACACCAAACAAACAAACGAGCGAAGAATTAATAAAAATAGCCCAGAAAGACGTTTTAAGAAATCTCGAGCCTTCAGTGTCTTTAATAGAACAGCACCACTTTTCGTGGTAACGGGAAGTACTTCATATATGATTAATATATAGGTTTAGCCAGGGCTAAAAGCGAAGCGCTCTTTTATATTTATAGTTCCCTCAAAGAAAATATAAAATCGAGTAATACTAAAGAGAGGGTTAAAACAACGAGATTGGTATGAAACAAAAACAAAAGATCTAATTAGCATAAAAACAACTTTGCTCTTGCAGCACACTTTTTTGTACATTTCCTTGCCGTTGTTTTGCACGACTAAGACGTGAAACTTCTTTTTAGGACCTGTTTACATGGCGGTAAGGGACCCCAGCTCAGGTAGATGAGGTAGATGCCAAAATTCCCGTAGTAATTCTTACCAAGATTCTTGCCAAGACTCCCGTAGTAATTCTACCGTAAAATCCGAAAATTAGCCCCTCTATGTACAAGCCCCTCCAAATACAAGCCACCCAAACCGGTAACGCAAAAAACCCTCCGTTAAATAGCCTCTCCAAATATAAGCCCCCGGGGGCTTGTCCTTGGAAAATTGCTTTCAAATACAAAGTAAAACAAAGCAAAAACGGTAAATTCACTTCCAACTATAAGGCTAGCCCAATTGGTTTTGAAACGCAAATTTCCCTCCATAGATAAGCCCCTCCGAATATAAGCCCCTCCAAAAATATGCCCCTCAAAATGGGCCTTTGAAAAATATAACGAGCCCCGGGGCTTTCTTTCGGAATTTTACGGTAATTCTTAGCACTATTCTTGCCAAGATTTCCGCAGTAATTCTTGCCAAGATTCCTGCCAAGATTGCCGTAGTATTTTAGTATTTTACCAACATTCTTGCCAAGATTTCCGTACTAATTCTTGCCAAGATTCTTGCAAAGATTCCCGTAGTAATTCTTGCCAAGATTCTTACAAAGATTCCCGTAGTAAATCTTACCAAGATTCTTGCCAACATTCCCGTAGTAATTCTTGCCAAGATTCTTGCCAACATTTCCGTAGTAATTCTTGCCAAGATTCCCGTAGTAATTCTCAACAAGATTCATGCCAAGATTTCCGTAGTAATTCCTTCCAAGGTTCATGCCAAGATTCCCGTAGTAATTGTTACCAAGATTCTTGCCAAGATTCCTGTAGTAATTCTTGTTAAGATTCTTGCCAATATTCCCGTTGTAATTCTTACAAATGTTTTCGCCAAGATTCCCGTAGTAATTCTTACCAAGATTCTTGCCAAGATTCCCATAGTAATTCTTAGCAATATTCTTTCCAAGATTCCCGTGGTAATTCTTGCCAAGATTCTTGCGAAGATAGTGTTACCGTGAATTAGAGGGGGTTACAGGAGGTTAGAGGGGTTACACCGAGGTACATGCATGAGGTTGCAAAGGGTTTTATCACGAGTTACAAGGGGATACAGGGGGATACCAATTTTTACAGGAGGTCGGACGGGGTTACAGGAGGTTATAGGGGTTTACAATGGGTTACAAGGGGTTTGCAAGACGCCCATTTCTCGAATATGCTTCCCCGGTGTGGGGCAGTTTGCCGAAGTACCTTGTAGATGAGTTGCAGTCTATACCAAAGAGGTGCCTAGATATAATCGAGATATCAAGAACATTCCTTCCAACGTTAGAGGGCAGGTGATACGTAGCAACCAAGCGTGAATTACAAAGAATTGTGAGTGATATTAACCACTCAAATCGAATTTTTTCTCACCAAGCCAAATACCAGCCACAGCTATAACTTAAGATCCAAACCAGGTTCAGTAACAATACCAAAGTCAGGGACGCAAAGACATGCAAATTCATTTATAGCAAGAGCTGCAATATAAATTTTTTATTAGAATAATCACTTGATAGCATTTTATAGTATATGTAAATCAGTTGTAAATCCATTGTATATATTTTTAAAAGATGGATAAATAAAGCTTATTAGTAGTAACCTGAGATCAGGCTCAGTTTTCGTTTCGCTTTGTAATAACATTCCGGCGGGCAAGGCGAAACGAAAACAGAATTTTAGCGGTAGCCGTTAGAGAGAATGTATGAAAACCGCTAAAATTGGGCCTGATCTCAGGTTAATTATTAGGGTCCACCGGATTTTAAATTTTGTGCTTTAATTGAGTGACGTTAACGTGACGTCAAAGACGACCTTTGATAATTTTTTTATTTACTTTTAAACTACTGGGAAACAAATAAAAAACTAGCCTTATCACGGAGAGACAAAACATATTTCCATTTCTTGAAAATGCATTATTAAGATTTACAAGGTGAAGTGAGTTCCAGTCCCTTAGTGACTGGTATCAATTCGCTCCATATGCGTGTGTCAATTCACTTACCATTGCCAAAAATTATTTGTTTAACAAATGATGTTGATTTACTGCGTCTGTTTTATATTTCTAGTCTTTTTGTAAATGTTTGTTTTAAACTATCAAATGTGACACTTGTTTGATGGGTAGTACTCACCATTCAAAAGTCAGAAAAGGTAATTTATTTAGTGGTACATCAGTAACCTTTTCTTCTTATAACTGTCATGATAATGACAGAAACAAAAGAGAAGTTTGTGTAGTGTTTTTGCAAGGTGGTTTCATTAAAGCATGAAACTAATAAGAGCCAACAAGAATCACAGCGAGGTGCGGCATGGTATAAGCTAAGCTCATGTATGTGGCATCCTCATAAAATTTATGTGGTGTTGAGTGAAAAGTTTGGCTGCCCCTCAACTGAGGGTGTGTTCCTTTCGGTAAATCCAAAAACGGATTTTAGATCTAAGAACGGATTTCGCGTTCCTTTCGGCAAAATCCAAATCCGGATTTTTGATCTGGTGAATCCTTTAAAGATTGCTTGAAATTAGAAATAAGTAAAAGTAACAAATGAACTGCTATCTAACTACAAACTCGCTTGTAGACGTGACAGGCACTCGATCGTGTTACATTAAAAAATCCGGGCTATGGAACTGGATCAAACAGGCCGACATTCTTTAGAGAATTTTCAATTTTAATGCGCTTCTTTCTTTGTCTGTTTTACATGTTCCATCGTCGCTATTCGAACTGCCGACCACTAAATTCTGCACGGTACAATCGCATAATTTGTCAGACAGTAGAAAACACGTCATTTTTTGAGAGGCTGTCGTGCATATTGCACGCGTTGGCGAAAGGTTACCAAGGTTACAAATCCAATTTCGGATTTCACGTTCCTTTCGACCGCGAAATTTGGCAAATCTAGGATCAAAAATCCGTTTTTGGATTCGCCGAAAGGAACACACCCTGAGATCTTGGCAAGCAGGATGCAAATCCTGGCCTTATTACATGTTCAGACTTGCTTTACTGGCCTGGGGGACAATGATGTTTCCATGGGCAGATTGAGGGGTACTCTGAGGGGACTGCGACCCCCCGCCCCCTCCCTTTTTCTTTGAAATTTTGTATTTATTATTCCATCCCTCATACAGTACAAACTCAGTAAAGCCAAAGCCAGGGGCTTATACGGCCTGTGGTCTGAATGACAGAAATTATTTTATATAGCAATG